TTCTAGCATTTTAGAGAACGCTTTAACTTTTATTTTGGAGCACATTCAAGGTGCCGTAACAGCAATCTGATAACTGAACCGTAGCATAGCAATCATAAAGCGTATGAAAAGTAATCGGGCTACGTAGGTCGTTTAAGCTAAAATGTGTTTTGTTTCAGTACTCGCCTTAGCAGCTCAATTCATGAGTTTTTGTTTGTGGTATTGCGCTCTTTTTGATGGCATAGCATCCTCAAAAAAGACGGTCGTTTATTTGTAAAAAAACTTTCAACAGTTCAGTGCAGCCAATCCAGCCCCTTCTTGCAGATGTAGCGTGCCGAGATGGCCATGGTGCCCCAGCCTTCCCAGTCGATTTCGCACGATTCGTCGTGTAGCATCTAAAAAAGTTATTCTACATCGTTTGAGAAGTGAACTTACCCCGAAGACATATTTTTCAGGGCCAGGATACAGTCCTTTGTGATAATCCACCGGTGTTCCATCAGTCCAAGCGGTCGTGTTATCGGGGAATAGTCTGAAGAATAGAGATTTGATTTTAAACCTAGTTTTTCCACATTCAAGCACAAATCTCTCTCTCTCTCTCTCTCTGTCTCGCTCATTGCCCAAGACTCTCCACGTAAATAGTAGCGAGCGTAGCGATCCATTTAACTTAATGCATCCAATCCAAGCATTGGTATATCCACAGGCAACCATCCCTCCTGGGATCATTTGCAAGCTGACGGACACGATGCCGTGCGTAGCAATTAAACCCAGGTCACGACACCGTTCCTGGCACGATTCTGAAGCCGATTGGGCGTTAGGGTATTGCCTTGACGTGTGTTTCGTCCATGCTTCACGACTTACCATTCACGTATAGTCGCTCTCCTCAACTGGGCAGTGTGAATTGAAGTGAGCCGGGCGTTTTGAGACCTACAATTAAAACACTGGCGTCGTCAAAAGTCCAGGCAAGCCAAAGCCCGTCCGAGCCGACGGTGAGGCCCTAGAGTCATTACACACTAGGCCGCTAAACGGCACAAACCTGCACAAAGTAGCAATGGTCCTTGTACTGTTTCCACGGCGCCGTGCAGGCCACTGAAATATTTAAATTTTAAAGATTAATGAACGTTTGGCAGGAATATTTGTAAAGTTCAATTACCGTAGGCAGTCGTCGGAACTGTCGGCCACGTCGGAAACGAGGAGCTGGGATCTAAAAGCTATTTTAATCGTGTTCGACGACATCAGAAAATCTAAACCAAGAACCTACCGTCAGACATATCCTTCTGACAGTAATACGGCGCCGAGTCTTTGCAATTTTTCGTTTTCCACTTGCCGGATGAAGGGTCGAGAACAGCACAACCATTTGCATTGTTTGGTTCGCCTTAAGGACTTAATAAACACAATATTATCAAAAA